ACCATTATCTCCATTTTTCCCAACTACCCACCAAGCCTGCCCTCATAGGAGGATCACTATAACTTATTTTATATTGCTTGTTATCCATTAACAGCTAAAAGAGTGGTCAAAAAGTATTTTCTTAGGAAAAAATTCGTGAAAATTGTATGTCATCAGGCAAATACTATTTCCTCATCTCAAGGATTATTAAAATGTTGATACAAGTTCGGCTTCTATGTTAATAGTTTTGTTATCCAGATTAGTTGGCTTCTACATTACATCTTATCCAGTCTGGTGAGCTACTACTGGATTGTCAGGGTTGCCGTGTTTTGATGTTACAGGCAGAGTAGCTGGTTCCTGGGTATTACAGTGGTGCCTTCTGGAGCACAGGGAGTGGGAGGAGGTAGCCCACCCCATTTCCATATGGTCAGGGACTTTCAGCCACAGGGACCCATGTACTTGAGGTTTTGCTGGGTTAAGTTCACTGTGAGCCTATAGTCCTGAGGTGAGGGGTACTTGTTTTGGGGTATGGGAGCCAGCGGCTGCCAGGACTTTGGGTGGAAATTGGTGTCCCCCCTCCAAGTGTTATAGGAAATAGGAGTGAGATGCACTAGGAAACGTTTTTCAGAAATTGTTCCTTAGCTGCGTGCGGGGCAAGTGCCCTACCAGAGGTGGGCTGGAGTGATAGCACAGTGGTAGGGCTTAGCCTTGTATGTGACAGGCCCTGCTGACCTGGGTTAGATTTCTCGTCCCCTCTCAGAGAGCCCGGCAAGCTACCGATACTGTCTTGTCAGCAGGGCAAAGCTTGGCAACCTCCCCGTGACGATGCGCCAAACACAGTAACAAGAAGACTCACAATGAAGACATAACTGGGCCAGCTCCAGCAAATGGATGAACAAAGGGAGGACAGTGCTACAGCTCCTTAGCCGATCAATGACTGTTCTCTCTGCCTAGAATTTGAACAGGAGAGCAGCCCCCCCATAACTGTTATTTGAGCTTCTTATGGACCTCATTCTCCTCCCATTCTCATGCTAAGTGAGCAAACAAGCCAGGTACAGAAGCCAAAGATAAGCAGTTAGCAAAGCAATCTATTGATTAAAAAATAGGACTGTTAATGGGACAATAGGTGAACAATACACTGATTAACAATGAATCCCCCCTTCAATAAGAAACCAAAGATAAGACAGTTGAAAAATAGTAAAAAAAAAACAAACCATCAAAACAGAGTAGTCAGATAATAGCTAAAAACTGATTGGTTGATTCTGGGACTAAAATATATAAGCAAAAGGCTTATATATAAGCCAAAGCCTCCTCTTTATTGATCCCCCATATCCTGCACTTTTCTCCCAAGTGAGCACATGTTCTGCCTGTCTGCCATAGGAGCTCATATCCTGCTTTTCGGCCAAGCTCCCTTGCACACATCCTGCTTTTCTGCCCTGTGTACATACATCGTCTTACCCGTCAAAGGGGCTCACGTTCTGGGCACCAGGGTCAAAGTTTGCCTCTTTCCCAGGGGACTGGGGTCAGTTGGTCTCCCACACCGAGAGTGACCCCTCCTGTCTGAGCCAGGTAAGGGTCTGAGAAGTTTTTGCAGCAAGTTGATTCCTTTAGAGATTTATTTATATGTCTCTGGAACAAGGCCCATAAGGATGAGCTTACCTGTTGGAGGAGGTGGTTTGTGGGCGTGATACAAATTTTTTGTTCTTTGTCTGTGCTGGGTCAACTTATTCTTAGGTTTAGAGAATCATCGCTGTTTCCCAGAAAAGCAACAGAAAGTAAAACCAGCTTCCTCTGCCCCCACCAAGCTGTTCCAAGCCTGTGTTGGGCTTCTCTTACACCCAGGCCCCCAGCAGCACAGGGTGAGGGAGCGCTCACTGCCCTGTTGTTGTGCATGTCCCCGAGAATCCACAGGTGATGGTATGAGAGACATACTTCCCAGTCCCAGAAGTCAGAGTAACAGCAAGAGTGAGGGGCAGTGAAGTGAGGCGTGTTCTGGCTTCTGGAAAGAACAGGAGTGGCGAAATGAGTCAGAACGAGAGGGATAGACATAGAAAGTTTGTATTCATCTGGGGAACATTTCATTTCATTTTTCATTTCATTTCATCATCCCGTTATTCGTCGATTGCCTCGAGCAGGCCCCAGTAACGTCTCTTTCAACCTAGCCCTGAGATTATATTCAAGGCTCTTTAGGAGAATGAGACCCATCATTGTTAGTGGTAATTGGCATATTTGGTACGCCACGGGGAGTTTGGCAGACTCTGCCCTGTGGGCAGGCTACATTCGATAGCCTGCATGTTTGTCCAGAGTAGGAATGAGACAATAAGATGTCATAAAAAAAAGTTCTGATAAGATGTCGCGAGGCCTCGAATGCGGCCGTGCGGTTCCGGGATCTGGATTTTATAGTCTCTGAGTCTTGGCCGCTGATGGGATTACACGGCGCCAGGGGGCCAGGTGGTGGGTGTGACCCCCGCCTACTGGAATTTGGAGGATCTGGGTGGAAGATGCTCGACTCCAATCCGAGTAGGCTTGGAGGTCTCGGTCCCGGCTGGGGAACATAAAGTAACAAAATAGGACACTAACACCCATGAGTGGCCGAGATTAGTATGAGGAATTTTGCTCCATGGCTTGGAGGCCAGCCACACATGCTAGGGGAAAAGGGAGCTCAGATAGAGAAGAGAGCACCAAATAAGGGGTGTTGGGAGGATCCTCCCAGGATGGGAGAAACATGCTGAAAGCAGACTATAGACCAAACATGATTGCCACTCAATGCCTCTTTTGCAAACCACAACACCCAGAAGGAGAGAGAGAACAGAGGGGAATGCCCTGCCACAGAGGCAGGGTGGGATTGGGGGAATGGGGGGTGGGAGGAATACTGGGATCTGTGGTGGTGGGAAATGGGCACTGGTGGATGGATGGGTATTTGATCATTGTATAATTGAAACCAAAGCACAAAATTTTTAAGTCTACAACTGTACCTCATGGTATCTCACTAATAATAATAATAAAAAAGAACAGGAGAGGGCTGGATGGATCTTGGCTCAGGGAGCTTCTGGGAGACTAAGGGCTGAGATGGCGGCATCCCTGGGAAAGCCCTGACTGTGGGAGCACTAGGGAATGTTCACTGTCATCATCCCTTTTCACTAACTAGGAAACAGACAAGAGAGGCCAGGAACTAGCCTGCTACCTCCCAGCAGGGCTCTCTTTCTCTCTTTCTTCCTATATTGTGTTTTTGTTTTCAGGCTATACTGTTGTGGGATGAGAGAGTAGCCAAGAAGTCTGGAACACACTTGTTTGCCTAATTAAGAAGCCTTTATTAATCCACAGGGGCTGCTGAACTTAAAAAGCGGTGTTTCAGAGCAAGGAACAGCCACAAACTCAATCCAGGCAGAGTTTTCATACATTAGTGTCTTGTCCTGTTTGGTAACATGCATTGGCTCTTTTCCTGAGCAAGTGAGCATGATCTCAGTGATGTAGGCAGGCAGGTAGATAGGGAAGGCCCCTCCCTCAAGGCAATGGCAAGGCAATGAATTTCCTGGGAAATAATAATATCAGGACACCTGAAGTTGTAAAAACAACTTTTCAGAAAACAGGAACAAAAGTCTGATAAAACTTTCACCTGGCCAGCAGCAACAGACCCAGAGAAGGCTGGACACCCCCTCCCCCGACAGAAACTCCAGCAGATACTAAGCCAGGAAAGGCATTTCTTTTTTCCCCTCTTTCTCTTCTCTCTCTCTCTCTCTCTCTCTCTCTCTCTCTCTCTCTCTCTCTCTCTCATTGAATCACCTTGACATAGAGTTGCAAAACTTTTATGTTTGAGTTTCAGTCATACAATGATCGAGCACCCATCTCTCCATCAGTGCACATTTTCTACCACCAATGTTCCCAGTGTAAACCCATCCCAGCTCTCCCCCTGCCTCTATAGGAGAAAATTTCCCCCATACTCTCTCTCTACTCTTGGGCATTATGGTTTGCAATATAGATACTGAGAGACTATATCATGCTTGGTCCTCTATCTACTTCCAGCACACATCCTCCATCCCGAACGATCCCTCCAACCCTCATAGACTTAGTGATCCCTTCTCTATTCCAGCTTCCTTCTCCCCCAGCTCATGAGGTAGGATTCCAACTATGGAGCAATATTCCTGGGCCTTGTGACTACTGTCATTGGGTGTCAGTCTCATATTATGTTATTTTATATTCCACAAATGAGTGCAGTCATTCTATGTCTGTCTCTCTCTTTCTGACTTATTTCACTTAGCATGATACTCTCCATGAAACCAAGTTTCATGACTTCATCTTTCCTAACAGCTGCATAGTATTCCGTTGTGTTTATAACTAAAGTTTCTTTAACCAGTCATCTATTCTCGGCCACTCAGGTAGTTTCCAGATTTTAGCTATTGTGAACAGTGCTGCAATAAACATATATGTGCAGTTGTCATTTCTACTGTGCTTTTTTGCACCCTCGGATGTATTCCCAGCAGTTGTATTGCGGGGTCATATGGAGGCTCAGGGGGATCAAACAGGATGCTGAAGTTTGAACTCAGGATGGTTGCATGTAACCACCTTAGCAATTGTATTATTGCTGCAGCCATTGGATTTTTGAGGGAGGGCATACCCAGCAATAGTGAAGGGTTAATCCTGGATCTGTGCTCAGAGATCATCTTGGTGTGTTGGGGACCATACTGGGTGGCAGGGATCTGAGTCAGTCTGCCATGCACTATCTGCTGTACTATTTCTCTGGACCCCTAACATGTAATTTTCTTTTTTCTTTTAAGTTTTAAGGGTCACACTCATTTTGCTACGGATCACTCCTGGTCTGAACCCACAGTACACCTGTCAGTTCCTTATCCCACCCTGCCCCACCTAACTAGCCCTTCGCCCCACCCCAATATCCATCCCTCTGGCTTGAAGGTGACCACCACCCACCTGAACACCCCGGGGCTCCTCCCCACACAGACCTGGGTCCCGAGATCTGCAGCCTCTCAGACTTGCCCCTCTTCCCTCCTTCATTTCCCCCACAGGGGCCAAGGAGGTGGTCTTGCTGGCACCCACAGAGGTGGATGGCTCCTTGGGCAGTACTGTGACCCTGCTGTGTCACCTGCAACATCTGGAGTCCAAAATCCAGCGGGTCACTCAGATCAGGTGGAAGCGGCTGGAGTTGCTGGGGGACCCCAGCATTGTGGCCGAATTCCACTGGGAGTGGGGTCCCAGCATCCTGGAGCCCGACCGTGTGGGGTTCTTGGCCGCCCGGTTGGGTGCGGACCTGCTGGACGCCTCGTTGGCCATAAGTGAGCTGAGCCCTGGGGATGAAGCCAACTACACCTGTGAGATCCACATCGGCACATCCCAGATGTGGAGCGCAAGCACCTGGCTCAGGGTGTTCTGTGAGTGTGAAGGGCGGGGCTTCCCCGAGAGGCGTGATTGTGGGCGGGGCTTCTAGTCATGTTGTTGGGGGCTGGGCTATTGGGTACTAGGGGTCCAGGAACTACTCAGAGATTGAAGGGGCAGCACAGAAACCAAAGAAGGTAAAGCTGCAGCGGTGGGGTTGGGGGTGCATGTGGGGCTGGTTATAGGGGAGGTGTGTGGGTCAGGAAAGAGGGGATGGCCTAGTTCTTACATAGGAATTTGGGGAGTATTTTCGTTAGGCTTTTCCTTCCTTCCTTCCTTCCTTCCTTCCTTCCTTCCTTCCTTCCTTCCTTCCTTCCTTCCTTCCATCTTCCCTGCCTCCCCTCCCTCCCTCCCTGGGACTGGGCAGTTATTCCAAGCCAGATTTGGGACCTGGATTAACTCCCTGACTCCCCCGAGTTTATCCAGGTCAAGACTGAGAGCTGAGTTGCGCATGCTCAGTTCCTGCCTCCAACCCAGTGACAACAGCGCTGCAGTGACCCCACCACTGACACCAGCACACTCACCCTCATTGTCTACACCAGAGCACCAGCACCATCGTCCATTGTTGGGTCACAGATATTCCTGTTCCCCGTTGCCTCCCTGACTGTTGTCTACACTGAGTCCCACACTGTCTACACCTGCTCCTTCAGCAGCGACCACACACTGCCTCAGGTGCTCTCTGTCCCGGGCTGCCCATTCTGGCACCCTGCTGCCCCCCAAACCCCCTCTGCTCGGCTCCCAGCCCATTCCTACCCCCCTTTCCAACATCTCCAACAGCGCTTTCCAATCCCTGTCCACAGACTGGTGCCGATCTGCAGAAATTTCCTGCTGGGCCACAGGAAAATTCACTAGGACTTGTTAGTAGCATTTTGGTTTAACGCTTTAGTTCTGGTTATTTGTAAGTTAAATAAATTATATATAGAATTATATATAATTCTATATAGAATTCTACATAGAATTCTATATATATAATTCTATATAAAATTTTTATTATGATAATAGAATTAAGAATGAATACACAAAGCACATTATAAATTTTGTTTATCTCTTTTTTTAGTGGTTGGTGAAATATTTCTATTTTCCCTGGTCTGTAGGTGCAAAAGTGTTTAAAGCCACTGGTCAACATTGGTTCCCGGGGTGAACCAATATAATATTCCCGGTCTACACTAGAGGTCGAGGGTACAACTAGGGGAGTTCTCACTGTACCCTGTGTCATCTACACTGACTGCTGAGACCCTGTCTCCGTGGACCTCATTCATTTCCTATCCTGTCTACACTGGCCCTGCAGGAGAAGGGTCTACACTGTCCATTCCGGCACAGAACACACTGTCCTTTGCCCAGCTCCAAGGGGCTCTCTATCTGCCTCACAGCTGACTCCCTCCTGCACCATGGCTGTCTACATGGCCCCCAATATATCTGCCTGGTCCTCTCCACACAGCCTCACTCCTACTAATGCCCCTAGATGAGGCTCTTGAATAGCCAGCTGTGGGCCACTGCGGGGCCCTGTCCTGAGCGTCCCCCACGTGTGTGTCTTGTAAGTGTCTTGACATACACTCCATGGACTGTCTGCATCTCATATCAGCTGTTAAGGGGTGCTTGTATGCCCATACCCACCCCAGCGCTGCCCAAAGGAGCAGCAGAGACCGTTCGAGTCTCCCCAGCACAGCTAAGAACAAAGACAGTGAAACTGTCCAGAGGAAGAAGATCAGTGTTTGTTTTTGGAGGAAGGCCACACCCGGAGATGCTCAGGAGTTACTCCTGAGTGTACTCAGGAATTACTACTGGTGGTGTTGTGTTGGGAGACCATATGGGTTGCTAGGAATTGAACCTAGGTTGACTGCGTGCAGGGGTTAATGTCCTACCCACTGTATTACCTGTCCTGCTGACAGGAGAACAGAGTTTGGAGCATTCATTGTACTTAGAACCTCCACAGCAGCTTAGATAATCAGTCACAGAACCTTTTACTCTTCTCTGCTCTGTCACTAATTCTGCATCTTGGTTCCTCTGGACTATAGCATGTCAAGGGCTTCGTGGTCACCGTGCCAGTTGACAGGCAGTGTGGACAGTGAGATCCAGACTCATGTCTACACTGGTCCAGCCTAGTATACAGCCGTTCACAGCCTGTCTTTCCCCCCTGCCCACACACACTCTGCTGCATTTGCAGGCCCTGGCAGGAGGGAGCAGAGCAGAAATTCTCCATCACATGACACTGCAGAGCAGGGGCTGGGCCTCTCAAAAACACAAGCGAATTTGACATCTGTCCCCAGGTCACTAAAGGGACACAGCAAGACTCTGACCCTCCCAGGATACCCCTATGTGCCCAGAGTTATTGTCAATTTGCTCAGATTCAGCAGCCCCTGGTGTCCCCTGTTTGAACTGTGGGTGATGGCTCTTCTTCTCCTCAAATGTGGGTCCCTCAGGGCTCCTGTCATTGAGATTGTCCCTGTTCCCCTCACAGATGCCCCCCAGGTCTCTATTGCCCTCTATGATGACATTGGGCAGCAGGGCCGCAGGGAGACCAGCCTCACCTGTGATGCCCGCAGCAACCCGGAGCCCAAGAGTTATGACTGGAGCACGTGAGTCCTGGACTAATCCAGGTCCGAGGGGAGATACCATGGGGGGGGTTGCTGTAAGGTCTGAGGGAGGAGGCTGGGATGGACTCCCAGTTATTGGGGGACAGCACCTGAGTGCCCAGACTCCAAGGGGAAGGATGGGGCTGATGTGCTCCTACACCTGAGAAAGGTGCTGGGAGCATGGCCAGGGTCTGAGGGAGGAAGTTGGGGATGGATAAGTGGGTCTGAAGGAGGATGACAGGTGATGGACCTCAGGGTCTGACAGAAGAACATCTGTGGATGTATCCCTCGATCTGAGGGGGGAGACACAGGGCATGGATTCTTGGGTCTGAGGGAGGAGGTGCTGGGGATACCCTCCTGATTCTGAGGGAGAAGGCCGTGTGATGGGTGCCAGGGTCTGAGGGAAGAGGTACTGGGGGTGAACTCCTGGGTCTGAGGAGGCTGGGGATGAACTGCTGGTCTTCAAGGAAGGAGAAGCAGAGGGATCCAGACAGGGTCACCTCTGACTCTATTAGACTGTCTTGCCTGTGGCAGGACCTCAGCTCAGTGGTGGACAGGAATCCACATGGGAGACCTGGGCACAGCCCCAGCAAGAAAATCCAGGTTATCTTTAAATTAAATGAAGGGATCTGTCACACAGCGTTTCTGGGGGTCTCAGCCCAGAAGCAGGTACCCCAGCTCTTCCCAGGGCTGCTCTTTGCCCCATCCCCACCCTCCTGCTCCGATCCCCACACTCCCCACTCAGCTCTGGGCCATGCGGTGTCAAAGATCACCTACAGCCAGTAGGGGCTTCATTAGCTGGGGTCCACCCCCAAGAACCTGGAGACCAGGGTAAAGGAGGCGGTAACTGACTCCAGAGTCTGAGGGATCGGGGCAGCTCTGGGGACCCAACCTAGGGCCTGGGCTTTACTCTGAGTGAGGCAGGAGTTCTCAGTGTCACTGAGCAGAGGAGGGCCTGGAGTTCTGTTCTAGTGAGTTCTCTCAGGCCACCAGGTATCTGCTTGGTGGGGGTGGAGGGGACAGGTGAGCAAGAGCCTGGGGATAGGGTCAGAAGCAGCTCTCATACACCCTGAGGACTAGAAAGTTTTGGATGGATTCTGAAGGTAAGTCTCAGGACCTGCTGAGCAGCAGTAGGGGTGTGAGAGGGAGAGTCTGAGGGACTCCAGGTACCTCTCAATTTGGGTCACACACGGAGAGGTGCTGGCGTTCCTCAGTCCCTGTCACTTTGGGCTCCAGCAGAGGCCCCATTCTCACCTGCCTGTGTCCCCCCAGTACCACGGGCCCCCTGCTCCCCTCTGCTGTACCCCAGGGCTCCCGACTCCTGATCCAGCCCACTGAGGAGTCAATCAACACGACCTTCATCTGCCTGGTTTCCAATGACCTAGGGACGGGACAGGCAGCCATGAGTTTCCATATCCCAGGTGAGGACCAGCGGGGAGCACAGAGACACCCCAGGAGGTGGTGGGCAGGAGGAGGAATGGGAGGGTCCCTGTGGAAGGATCCCCTCAGCCATGAGTTGCTCCCGGACTCCTGCTGAGACCTCTGTCAGGACACTCAGAAAGACCTTTCTAGGGGCTGGGGCCGAGCTCTCACCATTGCAACTGCTGGAAACGCCACAGTTGGAGGAGAAAACAGCCCCGTCAGGTTTGATTCAACCTGGGAACCCCAAATGTGTGTGAAACAGGAACATCCCCTATTTTGTCTGCACTGTAGTCATACTGACTCTAGTTTCACGCCAACGTTGCCCTCAGTAATCTGGGGCAGGTATCCCAGCTCTTCCCAGCGCCTGCTCTGTGCCCCATTCTCACCCTCCTGCCATCCTCCTGGGGATGGGATCCTGGGTCTGAGGGAGGAGGCATTGTGATGGGTACCAGGTCTGGAATTACAGGTGCCCACCTCACCGTTTAGTAGGTCTGGGGAAAACCCAACAACTTTTCTTATGTATGTATGTATGTATGTATGTATGTATGTATTTTCGTGACACCCAGGGTTGCTCAGTGCTTATTTCTGCTTTGCACAGTGATCACTCCTGGCAGCACTAAGTTGACCATATGGGGTTCTGGGGATGGAACTCAGATAGTCTGTGTGCAGGGCAAGGGTCCTCCCTTGCTGTCCTGTCTCTCAGGTCCCTGAACTCAACACTGACAGTGGCTCTGGACAATCCCAGAGCCACACAGAGGGGAGCACTCTGATTGGTGAGTCCTGGGTCCCTGCCCTAGACCACAGAGCTCTATGGAGTGACAGTAGGGGCTGCCCATAGGAGTGAGGGGCGATGTTCGCAGGCAGGGAGACCCCAGAGTCTCTGATCCTAACACCTGTCTCCTCCTCTCCCCCCAGGATCTCCCCAGGAACCGTCACCCTCACGCTCGACTATCCGGATTGGTCTCTTGGTTTCAGGAATCGTGTTGGTGGCTGTGCTGGGGGCTCTGGTTTATTGCTGGAATCAGAAACAGTCCTGTGAGTATCTCTGGAACATTTCCCCCCCGTGTGTCGGCCCTGAGCATCCTGAACCCTGATTGCTGAGCTTGACCCGGTGAGAGACTCTGTGCTCTTTCCCTCAGGAAGCTTGTCCTACTTGTCCCCACAATTGGTCAGCCCTGACCCTGCAGACAGGGACACTGAGGCAGGGGCTGATCTCCCACCCCGAGGAGTGAGGCCCCCGATTCCAGGGCCTGTCAGCACTGGGCACCCACCAGAGGCATGGGGGGACCGAGGGCAGATTGACAACCCCGGTTATTCCTCATGTCCCTTTTAGATGAGAACCCCCTAATGCTCCTACAGAAAGGAGGGAGCCGCAGGAACTGAAACTCTGGACCACCCTGCAGAGTTGAGGAGGAAGAACTGGGAAATATGAAGTAACAGGCCATGATGGGCTCAGCCAATATTGATAAATGATTAATTATCAGACTGTGGGCCTGGAGCCATAGTGCAGCAGGTAGGATGCCTGCCTTGCATAGAGCCAACCCCCTGTTCGACACTGGCTCCCTATTTGGTCACCCATGTCCACCTTGAGTGAACCATGAGTGCAGAGCTAGGAGTAAGTCTTGAGAACCAGTGGTTGTGGCCCAAATCCTAATAATAATAATAATAATAATAATAAGAAGAAGAAGAAGAAGAAGAAGAAGAAGAAGACTGGGATAGGATTCAGCCTGTGTTGATTTTATTGATTGATAATTAATAACAGGCAGGGATGGAGTTTGGTGGTAGAACACATCACAGCACATGTGGGATGATGATTTTGATCCCCGACACTGCAAAAAACTAAATCCAAAGAAAAGAATCAAATGAATCTGGAGTTTTCTCCACCCCTCTTAAAACTGGGGTCATGAGGGAAGGAGGAGCCCTGTGAGCCTGGAGTCGCGGGCCCCGCACCCAGGGGTCTACCTGTGACTGCCCAAGGGATCCTGATGTGTCTGCTCTGTGTCCACAGGTCAGGACCCCCCAAACGCCCCTGATCACGAGGTAAGTGCAGGCAGGTGCTGAAGTAGGTGAGGTGCCCATAGAGCACTGCCCAGTTGCTCTCCCAGGATCACCCCCTGTGATGCCCCCAAATCTGCCGCATGAGACTCAAAGGCCGAGTCTAGTTTGCTGGGTCTGTGCTTGGGGCTGATGTTAAATTTCTGTTCTGCCACTCCTAACTCTGGGCTCAGGGGTTACTCAGGGTAGGGTTTTGGGGACCATGTGTTTCACGTGAACAAACACAAGCCCCAAATGGGCAAAGCATGTGCTCAACCAGGCAAGCATCACTCCTCCCAGTGCCCCTCAAATGTGGGGTCTGCATTTTAATGGGCACCCCTTGCGGGCCCCCCATGCTGCATCTGGGGATATTGACCAGCCCCCAGAAGAAAGACCCACAGGCCTGACTTCTGTGTCATGGGGCTGCAGGGAGAGTCGCTAGTTCTGTCTGAAAGGAACTTGCAGGTCAGGTTTGAATCTTCCCTTTCCAGGCTGTCTCCTGTGCAGCTGTGCAGTGAAGCCAGCGCTTCCCAGGACCCATCGACACAGGGCACCAGGGAACAGACGCACTGATCTGGAGATACTGGGGCAGGGAGGAGGAATCAAGGCTGGCAGCTGTCCCCAGGACAAAGCTCCCTCCATAGACGAGGCCCTGCCCCAGCCAGCCCTCAGGGGGTCTCTTCTGAATCCTAACATAGTGCAAAGGTGCGAGCTTGGGGTCCCATCACAACCCACAGTTTCCAGAGTGACTGGAAGGACTCACAGAACTCAGGAGAGCTGGGCGGTACCTCACCCTGACCTTGTGCAATCCAGGTCTGCAAAGGGAAAATTTGGGGGTTCTTGGGGGACCAGCTTGGGCGCTGCTCTTTCCTGCCAAGTCCCATCCACCATCTTCTCCCAGGACCCCACGTGTCAACCCCCACCAGCAACTCAGCTCAGCTCCACGTCCAGAGTTTCTCTGGGTTCCCCTTGGGGCCGTCCTGGGCTCTAGCCCTGGTAGAAATGCAGCCAATACACATCAGCAGATGCCCACAGTCAGCGTAGACTCTTTCCAAACCCCATCCCATACCCCTTCTGTCAAAACAATGACAGCTATTGTGAAGTTGTAAGTTTGATCCCTGGTGCCCCCCAAATGTGCTGAGTGTAAATCAGTGGTTCGCTGACACTGGATCCTGCCCTGATAATGAACTGAGCATGATCAGTGGTCCACAGCCAAGGTTATTTGTCATGTTGAGTTCTCCACCTAGGTACACATAATTGCTGCATTCGGAGATGTTTGTTCCATTGAGAGCAAATAGAATGTCAGGAACTAGTATGTTTCTTATGAACATTGTCTTCGTGAGATTCAGCTGCAGTTTGACCTTTCCACACTCACAGTCAAAGTCAGCGAGCATTCGTGCTACTTGACTGATATTTGGTGTTATTAGAACGATGTAGAGAAGCAGAAGTGGTGTAGTTGCTGCCCGTCGACCTTCACTCCCATTCCTTCCCATTCCAGTGGTCGCATGATATTCTTGAGGGTGTCACTGAAGAGTTTCGGTGAAATGGTATTGCCTTGCCAAACCCCTCTCTTTATGTCGATGATCACTTCCTTGTAGAATGGTGAGACTCTGGTGAGATTCCATAGTACAGCTAACAGAGGACCCTTATGTACTGAGTTTGAACTCCCTGTTTGACTAGAGCTTCAATGACCACTTCAGTCTCAAGAGAATTGAAGGCCTTTTTTAAATGGATAAACGTTAAACAGAGCATCATCTTGAACTCTTGCGAAAACTCCATGAACTTGGTCACCATGTGGATATGGTCGATCGTGCTGAATCCTTTTCGGAACCTGGCTTGCTTACATAGTTGTCCTTTGTTTAGTGTTCTGCCAATCCTACTCAGGATGACTCAAGTGAATAACTTGTAGACGACGGTCAACAGGCATTTAGGTCGATAGTTGCCGATTTCGTGGATGTCTCCCTTCTTGTACAATAGAACGGTTCTGCTGGTTTTCCATTGGGATGGAAACTTGCATTCAGACAGGTAGCGTGTGAAGAGCCGAGCCAGTGTATTGATGAGTACTGATAGCAGGTTCTTCAGGTGTTCGGGTCTTACCTTGTCTGGACTGGGTTCTGTTTGCTTCTTTACCAACGAAAAGGCATGTCGGAATTTGGAAGGGAGAATGTTGGGGACGACATATACATCGTGCGGAATTTGGTATGTGGGCAGGTGGACACAAAGAGTGGCTATCGAAGAGATCCGAGTACAAGTCATGGATAATCTTCTCCATTGCCCTTCCTGAAGATGTGATAGATCCATCAGGACTTCAGAGGGCAGTCATCTTGGTCTTGTAGTTGGCAAAGGACAGGCGGGCATTGTGAATGTTTTCCCCAGCTTCTGCCGCATCTGCCAGCACTGCTGCTCTTCTCTCTTTGAGGTCTTCCTTTCTCGCCTCTCTGCACTGCTTTGCGAGCTCAGACGTTCACTTGTGGTTACCTGAGGCTTGCACCAAGCCACGTTGGCGAATGAGCTCAAAAGTTTTCAAAGAAAGGAGTCTTTTTGTGGCTCTCTCTCTCTCTCTCTCTCTCTCTCTCTCTCTCTCTCTCTCTCTCTCTCTGTGTTCCTCGCACAATCATGGAGGTGCTGAACCAGTCTATCGTATTTCTTATGTAATAAATAATAAAAAAAAAACCCTGCTGTGGTAGGAGTTCAGGGTCCTTGTCAAGACTTCACTGTGCTGGATGAGACTTGGACCCTAGCCCGAGCAAGAAATAAAGGTTCCTTTGTTTTGCATTCTCATGTGTGGAACTGGTCTCTCTGCAAATGGAAAACCTTAGACCCGCATAAAATACCCTAAAAGTAGGGCCCCACAGAAGGGACTGGAATGACCCAGAGCAAGTTGTAAGCAACCCTGACATCTAAATGGGATAGGCCAAGCACTAAGAGTGAGGTCTTTCATTGTGTAAAAAAATTTTTGGCCACT